AACAACAACAACAACAACAACCTTCATACCACTGACGAGAACATGCTCAAGTCCTAGAGCGAATCGTCACAACACAAGTAAGGAGGACTCTCAGAGGAAGCTCGTAAGAATTCTGAAGGCTCCTGTGATCGCTTCACCAAACCCCTTACAGCTAAACCTTCAACAATTGGATCTCAAATAGCTCTCCACAAGGCCTTGTCCAAAGACCCGAGGACTGTGTTGAATGAGATCTCGTCAGGAGCAATGCCTTGCTATCAGCACTTGCACTGTTCGGACACTTCATATGCCTCGATCGAACAAGAAAAGCTACTAAAGGGCACCGGACCATCTGAATCCATTTCTTGCAGCAGCGCCAGCGACAATTGCCAAAGGGCGGCCCGCTCGCACGCGAGCCTGGTGCGTAGTATATACGTATGTATGTATGTATATATACATATATATATATTCATTTATTTATTTGTATGTGTATATATATACATTTATTTATTTATATTTATGTATTTATTTATTTATTTATAATATGTATAGAAACAAAGCCAAAATATGTACGTGCACACGACATGAGTTGTATGTGCGTGTATGTATAATCGGTATGTATACTGTATACGTAAAAGGTGTGTATATATATATATATCATGTATGTATGTATTTAAAACGAGAGATAGAGAGAAAGAGCGCGAAAGACGGCGAGAGCAAGAACTTGCGGCTTCTGCCTGTCTACATATTTGCCGTTCATGTAGATGAGCTATTGAGTATTGAGTACCCAAACGAATTGAACACCGCATGTACCTGCAAATGTACATGTACATTGAATCTGATGTGTACGTACGCAAGTAAGTTGTATCGTAGCTACGTGGCGTGGAGTTTGTGTTGGAGCGTCTTAACTCGGCTTCACAAGAAATTTGCCGGCTCCTCGTGACGGCCGACATCACAAGTTCGTCGGGAAGTACGGATGCACACAGGGGTTCGTTGTTAGGGGCTTAAGCAGGCCTGCGCTGCAATCAAACATCGACCAGTGCCGCCTCCACTCGCCTGTCTCCGTCGTCTCTTTTCTCTTTGTCTATATCTAACTTGGTCTTCACAAAATTTAAGGCGCCGGCAAGACGGAGTTGAAGCTGATCCTGCAGATCGCTACCCACTTCCTATCAACCAGATTTTCCTTGCGAGTTCGACAATTTGAGGACATGGCGAGGATACAGGAAAAGCTGCGAGCGCAGCTGGTCCGAGTTGCCGGAAATGATGTAGGAGTGCAAAAGCTCTCTCAGCTTCAAGAGGCTTTGCAGCACGATGTAGGAGAAGTCTATGCTCCCAGCAGGAACACGGACTGTGTTTGTGTGTTGAAGTCCGCATGCTCATGCTGGTGGTTCCCTGAAACCTCGTAACCGCTCGCCCAAACCCGAAGTAATTTAATACCACCTCGAATCCCGAACCCCCAAGACACCCAGCCAGCAGTTCAAAACCCTCAGCTGTCCTGTCTCTGCCAATCCGCCGGGTCGGAAAGGACTGGAGGATGCTAAGGGCCTTGGCAGGAAAAGGTCTGGCAAAATCAGAGACAAGTCAAGAACAAGCAGCCAGCAGTTCTGGGTTCTGGGTCGCAGTGGAGATTATTTTGGCATGATTGTTATTACTATTATTATCATCATCATTACTATTACGATTATATAAGATATGAGCAAAGAGGAAAACCCAACAGCAAAGTTCTGACTCCGGCTAGCAACATCGATATACGAATCGAAAACATTCGAAAACATAGGGGTGCCGTCACCCCAGCTTAGAAGGGACTGAAGTCGCCTTACTCGGTCTTCGCACTTTGACCAGTCGGTTGTCTGGACAACTTTTCGAACCGTACTAGAAATCCTATTATCGTAACCTTTACCGTGCGCTTTAAATTTATAAGAGACTGCGAGGCAATCAACAGGCCGAGAGATGCGAGGCAAACCTCGGCTGGGCACACACAACCTGTAAAACCTTTCCACCATAAAAGCCCTTATAAAAAACCCCCATACAATACAAGCAACGTCATACAAACCCTTGGAAGCCCACGACTCCCTAAACCCTGCACCGCTGTTTCCCAATGAGCTCTAGTCTAGGCAGATTCCACCCCAAGGATGCCAAAGCATGAAACGAATTTCTTCGGTAGAAAATAGGGTTTCTATGGTAGGAACTACTATTAAACATTATTATGGCTTGGGTAAGTATCCCACATATATAGTCATATTGGTACTGAGGACCCTTTATGGGACCCTGAACCAAAATGCTAAACCCGAAGCCCTTAACCCTAAATTCTAAGGCGCTAAACTCTAAACCCCTAAACATCCCTAAACCCTAACTTTAACCCCTAAACCCCTAAACCGCTAAACGGCTGAACCGCCAAACCGCTAAACCTCCCACCCCGGCCCCAACTCCCAGCCGAGCCTGGACCCACTCGGAACTTCGGGCGCAGGCTGCTGCCGCTGAGTTCAAGGTGACGGTATCCTGAAGAGTATACTATTACATACTGTAATTTATTAATTTTAATATGCATATACCATGTTGTTGGATTCTAGTCAGCCAATTTCGGACTTGAGGTTCTGTTAGGATAGCTTGGGCCTAGGACTCTATTGCGGTAGTTTTTGGGCTCTGGGCTTCCATGGGTTGTCGATGTTCAGACCCGGACAGAAAAGGCAAGGTGAGCCACTGATCAGATGCTATCGTCTGACCTACGCGGCACCACCAAATCAACAATCATGGTAATCATGGGGGACTTGGGTCATCGAGAGGGGCCCCTTCAGAACAAACGGACCTAGACCCCACAAGGTTAGCGAACCCAAACACTGGATCACTTCATCCAGAGCCCGGGTTTTAGACGATGACGAGGACCACCACCAAACCATGATCAAGATTCTGAGATGACCATCATAATGGTGTTTGCAATGGAAACGAAAATGTCTATGCTGAGTGGTTGATACAGCATCCACAGCCATGAGCACATTGGGACACGGCCAACTGAACATGCGTGGTAGCCATATCGCTACGACCTTACACTTCTACAGAATCAACGCATATAATCGGATTACCGGAGCACTAGAGTTCAAGCACATGGCATAATATGGCATAATACTCTCGCAAACGTGACGTTAAAAAGAAAAATACAGGCCAAGACAACGATAAAGTTGCTCCCCGAGCAAAACGAAGTGTGGCGCCAGGGTGATTTTGATGTTGCAAACTGACAGGTATTTGAGGGCTCGGCAGATTCAAGCACGCGCTGGTGCATGTCGTCGAGCAAGCTGCAACGCAAAAATACATGTTCGACAAATGACCACAGTTACAAGACTTATGAGGGGCCACCGGCTGCCTGGATTGAACTCGACACGGTGCTCGCTTGTTGCACGCGGGCTCAAGCTGTCAAACGGTGGAAGCTTGCAGCTTTTGTTCTCAAGCAGCGAACCAGCGGACTGTGAAAGGTCACCAGTTCAAAAACCGGCAACTGGCTGACCTGTAGCCAGCTAAAAGGATTCGCACAGCTCATTTCACGCATGACATGTTCTGAAACCGAGGCGGTCAGCCGTTGCCATACTGCAGCAACACAAGGCTCACTCATGACAGAAAATGAAAAACAGAGGCCAACACTTGACAGTGTTATCCTCAGCAGCACTACTCAAGAATCCATCCGTGAAGCTTCGGCACCGTAACCCTGAACCCCGAAAACTCTCAACTGCTGGCTGCAAAGCTCAGCGCAGGCTTTTGAGCGAACCTCGGGAAGTTTAGGAACTAGGGTCGCTACAAGGGGGTATTGTAAGGGTTGCTACATCTGTCTGTAAGGCTACTACAATGAGGGTTTCGATAAGAGATATACTAAGCGTCTATCGAACTTCAGAGATTGCAAAAGTACGTCCCACTACGAGTTCGAGAACTCTAGTACCAATCATCTTCCATCATCTTCACCAATAGCTTAGGGTTTAAATAGTGCCACCCAAAAAGCATGTTTCATCGTGAGCCTGCCGTCATGACTGATCATCGTGAGCTTTGACTTGTCTTGGTTGTGCAGTGCACCTGCTCGTAATCAGAAAACCGGAAGCCACGTTCCAAAGACAACACATTGTGTTCCATGCAGGATCTCGACCCATGCGCGCACACGCACCGCAGATCACAGCAAGAGTCTAGAGGTTTTGACCTGGCTTCAACTTCCACAGCTCGGACACTGCACCTGCGGCTACAAGCAGGGTCTTTATAGGCTCCTCAGGAGGAGGTGAGTGCTTGTGCATGCAAGCATGAAGTCACAAACATAAACACTTGTATGCACATCCACACAGGTGCCGAGAGGACGACTGCGCGTGATCGCACACACAGACATGTGCACAGTCTGAGAAGCTGGATGTGCGTGTACACGTATGTGCGCACACCACGTCTCTGTCATGCGTCTAAATGTGAGCATACAAATGCCAGCAGTTAGTGTTTTGCTTCCGTTCGTGCCGGGATCTACGTCATGTTGTGATGGTGAGTACCGTCACCGGAGCGTGTTAGACTTGGTCGTTGCGGGTTGTTAGTCATGTTGTTGATGATGTGGTGGTGGTGGTGGTGGTGGTGGTGGTGGTGGCAGCGGTGTTGGCGGCGGTGGCAGCGGTTTTGGCGGCGGTGGTGGTGGCGAGGATGGGGGTGATGGTGGTGGTGGCGGCGGTGTTGGCGGCGGTGGTGGTGGTGGCGCTGCGGTGGCGGCGGCGGCGGTGAAGATGCTGCTGCTGCTGCGCTGGCCCTGTGTTTGCTGTGGCTGCTACGGCGGCAGGTAAAACTCGTTGTTGCCATTACCATCCGTCGATCAACATCAACACCGTCAGAATCATGTTCGTCGTCGTGACCGAGGTACTAGTTTACATGATGCACAGCAGCTCGGAGAGTGAAGCATCTAGCCTTTTCAGCAAGCAGACTTCTGCAAACCAGCTCCACAAGCTGTACCGACCCGATGCTGCACGGGGAAACTTTTGCCAGAAGCGTGAAACTGCATGGGACCCAGGAGGCCATCATCACTGCCCAGAGTCCATTGAATCCATGGTGTCCTTAGCGGTTATCTCATTGCTTCGCTTCAGCTTGCTTCTCTTTGGGCGAACACTACTGGAAGTTGCATAATTACTGACGCGGCGGCATGCCACAGCAGGACTCAAGCTAAACAGTGTATGCACGAAGTTGTGCGGACACCGTCCGATGAACCTTGCGCAAAGGATTTTGCAATTCAGCATGTTGCTGCCATGCTTCTTTGCTTGAGGAGGTAGTGAGTCTCACCTCCAACTCCTCTCGCAGCTCTCTCGCCACATCACGGTCTCTTGACGGGAGGTAAAGGATCATGTTGTGGTACGATGTGTAGGCCATCAAAAGAATCACCATCACTCCATAGACCATGTGAATCATAACATCGTTGTCGTATACCGGGCACTTGACGTAGTTGCCTGTGCTCTGCCAACCACCGGAGGCGGAAGCTACACTGTGATCCGTCTTCGGCACCAAGATCAACGGATTGAGGTACTGGAGTGGAAGCATGGGCAGAAGGACCTCAGGTTTGGACAGACCATGGGGATTTGTGGGAGATGGGGCTGTGACTGTGTTTGATCCAGTTTTCCTCGCATGCTGGACAGCTCAGTAGGTAAATGAGCTTCGGATTTCGGCTTCGAGATTGTAAAAACCTGTTAGACCCGTAACCCTTCGTTCGCCTTCAGCAATGGGAGCTGCAAGTAGATGCTCCCCACGGCTGCTTTCCTCTTCACGTTGTACAGCTCCTTGGGGGAGTCGGTATCTGCCTGCAATCACGGCAAAATAGCTGGATGCAGACATGCCTTAGTTTCTCTCCCGAGCGGGCCTCCCCAAGTGCGTAAGAGACAGCGTTGGAAATGATTGAGAGCCCCGCAGACCCCACGAAAGTGGAAGAGATGGCGGCAACTGTCACAACGACGCCTCAGTGCCGGCGAGATTCCCGCCTACACGTTGGGCGAATATTCTGCTTGCGAAGGGCCACATGAGGGTTGGTGTCCCTGCAAGCACTAGTTGCCTTGAAACCTTAGGATGACCGGCGCTCACTGAGTTCAGGGGCAAGCAGAAGTTGAACCCTCTGAACTCGAATGGCCACTAAGTTCTAGGTGATCGGTATCATGCTCTGCCGCCCAAGAGGCTGGTGAGGTCGGAGAGGGGCTTCCTGAGTTCTTCAGGCTGGGGCCAAGGATGCATGTAGATACGCGTAGTAGTAGTCGTCGTCGTCGTCAAAGTCGTGGCAGCAGTAGTAGTAGTAGTAGTAGTAGTAGGAGTAGGAGTAGGAGTAGGAGTAGGAGTAGGAGTAGTTGGAGTAGTA